CGTACAGGACATTTTCAAGTTCCGTAGACACTTTTCATTTGCGAATCGATAGAACTACCTATAAATCGATCGTTTTAATGTGTAAGAATAGCGACTTAAAGCATGATTCAATGTCTAAAAGTCTTTGAAAGCTGGTTTAAAACCTTTAATAATTTATTTAAGAGCAGAAGGAAGTAGAGTATGCACTGAGCCTGCTAGACATGTCGTTCCACACATCGTGTTTAAGGTTCTTTTCAGCTGTGCACTTCAGTTACGCTTTCAGCAACTGCGCACACATTAGTATTAAAGTATATTAATGCCGTTTCGGAGATGGTTAAGTTTGGTACAGGTGGGAGGGGATACACGGGAAGATTATCGGGTACAGATTAATGTTGTATCCGATAATTGAAATGACACTATGGAAGGATGTATTGGAAGGATGTTACTATGGAAGAATGGAAGTGAAATGCATAACTCTGTCACATTAGACGGTTTTGAGCTGGAACTTGGTGTAGAACAAAGAAATAATGAATGAAATTGTTAATGAAGGGTCATAGTGAAAAGTGAAGTGATGTGAAGTGAAGTGAAGTGTAGTGAAGTGCAGTTGAACAAAGATTCAGTGCGGAGTTTGATTTTTTTAAAAGGTAATTTTAAATTTTTAATGAATTAGACAGTTTTATTTCCATATTATTTTTATTATCAATGTTATTTTTATTTTTATTATTATTATATTATTTTTATATTACTATTATTATATTATTATTATATAATTTGCATGTTAGCTGTAGTATTTTATTTATGTAATTAGCGTTCACCGGGTTATGCCCATTTGCAGTTCAAATAAATTTATCTTATCTTATCTTAAATAATCCAGGAGAAAGGCCAGTTGCGTCATTCCAGTAATCTCTTTTCCACTTTACCATTCCTTTTACCATACAGTTCAGGTGTCTTTATATTTATTATTGGAAGCTCATACGACATTTTAGACATTTTTTGGAAAAGGGCTTCGCATTTATTTTTTTAATTTTTTCGCTCAAATCCAGTTGTCGAAATAACTAATATTCACTTTCGCACTTTTCTCTTTAGAAACAACAGCTTACTAATACAGACGATTTAATGGACTGGGATATATTGAACTCCCAGTTATAGTGAACCTAAGTCACCGGTCCCGTTTCGTTTACGTAACAAATAAGTAAGAGAAGATCGGTTGTAGTGAACTCTGAACCTCAAATAAAGTGAGCGTAGAAAATACGTCCAGGAAATTATTTCCCTTCTGGAAAAATATATCTGCTCAGAGCCTCAAATTCCAACTCTAGGCAGCTTGAAAGAAAAATATCGTCGGTCAAAGACCATAATCCAAGGAGTCTCCCCTGAAGTGGAGGTAGCTGGCTCGCAATGTTTGATTCAGCGATCAGTTTCATTAGCTCCTCGCACGATGCCGCTACCGAAAGAATCTCGCATATAATTAGGCGTGTAAAAGAGCCTTCGGAGAATGAAACGGTGTTCCAATACTGCAGGAGGCAGTAAACGAGTTCCAAAACTGCATTACGATGCTTAGAGACAATGGAAAATGCCGAATCAATTACGCACAGGGCACAAACTCGACAAGAATGTAGATAAATTACAAATTAAAAATGTTTGAAGCAAACAATTGAAAATATTTTCAAAGCCAAATAAAGATATTAAAATTTTCATTTTGTGCTGCTAATATATTTTGCTGTATCTGTATATAATCATTGTATATTAATCATTATGGAGAAATTCTAATTAATTTTGACATCATCGGACATAGTGAATCAAAAATGTTAGTCCTCGGAAGTTCACTATAAACGGAGTCGACTGAACATGCGTGAAACAAGCTGCTTTACACCCGAGCCCACAAAGCCCGACTTCAAGGCTTCCAAAATTTACTTGAACTATTTTGTAAAAGAGTATAAATATGTTTTAACATGTTATTGCAAGGAGAATTTAAGTATTCTAAAACGTGAAGTGAACGTGAGATCTGACGTCGACCTATACTTCGGTTTGCAGTGTTTATCTGTTTTCCGGGTACTTCCCCAGTGAGGCACTGCTACAGCCGGGATAAGATCTACGTCCCTCATTGCGTTCTAAACATATATGATAGAGCCGTTGTTACGATACGAGAATATACATTTGTACGAGTTGCATGACCCCGTGGTAAAAGAGGCAATTGAATCGTTTATTTCAGAAACCCGTCAAACACCAAATTTCTCATTCCAATAAAACTGAGAAAAAGTCTCGCAATTTACCTCATTTCAAAATATTTGCTTATTTTAAAGCAGTTGATAAAAGAATATTTTTCATAAAGATATGCATCAAACTATGTGTCTATCCTCTTGGAGCAATAATCCTCCTTTAACGCGTCTATTAGATTTTGGCGTTTGATTGGTTTCGGAAATAAACGATTCAATTGAGGAACGTAGCGTCAGACAAGGGACAATTGAGGGAAGCAGCCTAGCTTGGACACAAGTTTTATTAGGAGAGATTGGATCGAGATGGCGAGAGAATGCATGCTGGATAGTAGAGCGGATCACGCCATTGATAGGTGTTCCGTACCTGCGAGAGGCTTTAAGGTATGAAGTGAAATATGGGTGAGAAAAGCGACGGTTAAATTTGTCCTTTCCGGGAATCGATCCCGGTGTAGAAACATTTAAAGCAAGATCGATTGCCAGGGGCCACCGTGAGTGTTTGTGTGTGTGTGTTTGTGAATAATTTTATGTATAATTTACAAATATTTTCTTTTATTGGAAACGAACTTCATGAAATTGAATATAATGACCCCAAAATCATTCGGGCTCTGAACGCCTTGTGGCTATACGTTCAGACATGCCAAACAGGACATTACAATTTACATTAATTTTTTCCAACTCGTTTGGCAGAATTTAACATTCTTGTAGGCAAAACTTTACGTGCTGTGAAGTACGGGTTTCGAAACATTGTGTCTGTGACTGGTGTGACCTCGTTCATTGCCACAGATAGAAAATAACCGTACGGTTGGCAATGCAGCCCCAACTCTGTCACTATCAGCCTATCTGTCGTTGGCGGCTCAGATGTCTGGGTGGAATGTGCAATGGCGAGTTGCAAGAGGCGGAAGGCTGAATACGTTGAACACAAAAAATGTAACTTTTCAAATTTGTCTCTCACGTCGTTAATATTTATATTAGAGGCAATTTTTTTACTTTAATGTATTTATGAGTACATTGTTTTAAGTAATGTCAGATAAAGTTTTCCGAAAATTGAACACTTTTCTGTTCACAATTCCGCATTTTCAGAAACAATCTAACGCCATTTTCTCAAAAACGGTTCTAAATTTTTTCTTCAAACTTTTCGAACATATAGTGTCAATTGAACTGTTTAGATTACATTGAAATAATTTTGCTGCATTATTTTGTTTCTTCAAGAATTATATAAAGGTAATAATTTTGAAAGGTTTCTCACGCCTTAATATGCATATTTCCAGCAGTTTGTAAACTCTATTGTATTTGTGTTTGGAAGTAATTGAAATAACGTCACATGAAGATTTTCAAAACTCAATAGTTATCTATGAAAGGAGGTTCAAATTTGAAATATACAGTAGCTCTTAAATGCTATTTTTTAAAAAACGCTCCAAATTTTCAAAGAAAATTGCCAATTAAGATGAGGTTTTATTGTTTTTTTATATTTAAAAAATAATATTTCCGTTCTACTATTAGGAAGACGAAAAATTAAGAAAGTTAAAAAAAATTGGGTGGCTGTGGATGGCAGCTGACAAGAGTATGTGTCAAGTCCGAATAGCTAGCAGAGACCAATGGAAATAGAAAACTAATATGGGAAGGTCTGTGCCATTCAGAAGCACCACTAGTTCATTCTAAAGAAGGAATGATGCTGATGAATGTTTCTCTACAATATTCATTCACATGATTGACTTCGTTTCTGGATGTTTTCCTTTAAAGTTCTCGAAGAGCTGTTTTAGCGTCATCTGCGAACAGCGAGTACACTAGAATTTTGATGGCCAACTTTAAGGTTGAGGTTCTAATGTCAGACGCGATTTACAGGCCGCGGTCCATGCAGATATATCGTAGAGAATCCCAAGCCCGTCATTTAACAATATTTCGTTAACGTTGTCAATGATAATATTTCATCAAAATGCTTATTATTTATGATACGAACTAACCTGGACACTGGCTATGTCATAATCTGTTTTTATTATTGTTCAGTTCGTCTCAGTGCATCAATTTATCACAGATGTGTTACCATTTTATGGAATATAACTTACTCTACATTTTTAGGTTGCTTTTTTTAAAAAAGACCCCAAATAGGGTGCAAACGTTTAATATAACATGAAATAATAACTAACTGAAATGATATATAAAAAACTTAGTCTGTTTTTATTAAGATCAAGAAACTTACGATTAAATAAATATTATAACTAATTTAAAATATTAATTATATTTAATTGTAAATTTTTGTTAGTTAAAATTACATAATGCATTTGGAAAGGAGCCAACCATTTTTGAAATATTGTTCATGAGTTACAATTAACATATAGTAAAAAAAAAGTATGTGGATACATAGCAGTGCACAGAAACAGAAACGGTAAAATAGAGCCCTTGTGTCTAGAAATGGGGTAGATTGCACATTTAAATAAGTGGGCAAATCGTTTCACAGCTTCGATCTTTGCATTAGACACCGAGACATTCATAATACGCGCTCCAACGTCTCCCCACTACTCGCACTGTCGCAACTCTCGCGGGCTGACACCTGGCTCGTAAGTCCAGAATGCCGATACTTCGCTTGTGGGAGATATCTGGCAAGGGAAAAACCGACGTAGGTCGGCGCCGAATCTTTCCATCCTGCGGGGGAAGATCACTACCATCTCATGCGGTACAAGCACGCACTACGGAACTTATCACCTTAGATGTCGACGCGGCCATAATCACTAATCCATGAACAAACCAATCTGTGAGCCGGCCCCGCTCACCTGCGATCATGCGCTCCAGCCTCCGCCGGTCGACGGGCACCTGGTCGTGGTGGACGGCGTGGGCGTGTGCGGGCGAGGCTGCCTCGAGCGCCATGGCGTCGCCCGCTGCTGCCTGCCTGCCAGCCGGCGCTCCCCGG